AAACATTTCGTTCACTCGTTAATTATCTACTCAATCGTTTTCCCTGTGAATTTATCAGTAATATTCTTCTATGATTTCGCATCATTCTTACAGCTCTTCGACTGTCTCCAATTCTTCGCGATAATACATCATCCAAGTTTACATATTCATCAAAACTTCGACGAATGAAATCTTACTCAGAAAGTTCAAGTCCTCTCACATTGAACAGTTTCGCCGACTATGAACGTAACGTTCAAACATCTTCAGTTCATCGCGTTAGTTATCATCGTTGCTTTCTTATCTTTCCACTATAATATCAACAGCAAAAACATTGATAGTAGCTGTCAGAAATTGCAATTGAAGGGTCGGCCGTTCGAATCAGTATGTGAGTTGTCAACAGATTCCGTGGCACAACAAGTGAAATCAATAGGTGATCAAGAGAACGATAAGGAGAATGAGCCAGTGGTTGATAGTAGTAACCAAGAACAGCAACACCCGGGTACATCAACCCCTGTCAAGAAGGCTTCATCAAACGAGTTCGTTACTTGACTCTTCACTTGATGTTATCATATCATATTATGCCATTTCACTGTAAATGTACTTTGCAATTCTTGATTTACTATCATAATATTTATTGAAACTAAGGAATTATGCACGAGATACTTCGATAAAAGTACGATAATAATTGCAGTAGCACAGAGACAACGCGTTCAACTCGTTTAACAAATCCATTTGAAAGTCATCTTTTGGAGAGTCTTTGTGTCAGTACGTTCAGTCCACGACTGTTTTCAGACTTGAAAACCCCGTCTAAGGTATATTTTTCATGCATGTAAATTTCTGTATCAGTGTCTCGTTTCAGGCAAAGAGATAATTGAACCGATTTTCAGTCCAATACTGAATCACCGGAAAAGTTTCGATGGTCAATCGATCAAATTGCGATTTTGAATCCGGCTGATATCGATGAATCTGCAGCGGATAAGCAAGAATCTCCGTATGTTCTCTGATATCGGCATTTGTGAATGTTTGATTTTCATTGGAATGTTCCTAATTACGATGAGAAAATGATTTTTATTTAAGTGATCCGGTGTTCGAGGCCCGTGTGCAAGGTGCAATCGATAAATTTTGGACTTCGCAAAAGTTTGTGCTGCCATCGCCAGATGTTAATTTGGTGGGTTATATCATAATATCATTGTTATGTTATTTGGAATATAATGATGATCTCAAATCAATCAACAATCGTCATTTGAAGGTGTTCTCGGCAGGTGCTTCTTCCACTCATTCAGCACGTTCCGATCGTTCACCATTCCAGCATCCATCCTACAAACGACCTCAATCGTTTAGAAGAGATTCAAATCGGAATAATGCGGTACGCTGATCTGTTATTATGAAGTGGTGTTATATATGAAATGGATGATATAATTTCTATACGATTTGAAGTTTACGGATGATTTCTGGTTGATTTAAATGGTAAGTTAACTGATTTTTGAAGGTTCGTATAGAAGAATCTCCTTTGGTGCGGCCAGGTTTCCAGCGTTTCAACGGCAGTATTCTAAGACGGACGAAAGAAACACAAACGCTGCTCACATTTCCACCTGACCTCGATCTTGTCAAATTACTTGGTTAGTTAGCAGTTTTTTTTNTTGGTATTAAAATGTGAAACAAAAATTGAGAGAAAAAATATCGATTTCAGGTGGTCGTTTCCAATATAATGAAGAAGATGAGAATGCAGAAGAGGCAGCGTTCGAAGCAAATCTCTCGTTGAATACATTGCGACGAAAATTATTCGCCGATTACGATTCGTCGTTCTCGAGTGCGAAAGATAACGAGCTCGAGAGCAGTCACACTTCATTTGCTGATTGTACTGCAAACAACCCACATTCTCCGGCATTACTCAAATTCGACGTTTGTTGATTTATTACTATCGTCAAGATTATCATCGTGATTGTTCATTTTCATTCCGTTCGTTAGATGTCTCAGCTTGTTGTTTTAGCTGTAGTGTGTTCATTTTCATTCCATTCGTTAGATGTCTCAGCTTGTTGCCTGTAGTGTGTTTTGAGATGCGATTATGGATTGCTGTTTCATGTTGGTTCTTTTATTAGGATGATGAAGTGGATGAGGACGAAGTTGATGACCTGTTGAATATGGACGGCGATCCGAACGTGCAAGAGGAATCATTCATGGACGGTGATATCTCGACAATTGGGGAGCGTGATCGTAGTGTGGGCAATTATGGTGATGATGAAACGCCAGTGTATTTGGGACGACGAAGAATGGTATCACCGGAAATGTCACCGATCAGATTCATCAATTGACTACCTTATCCGTCACCGGCAATTGCATTCATTTGATTTTGAAATTACCTCGGAAATTCACTCTGAACAAATTTTTCTTCAG